ATTGATGAGAGTGTAATTCGGTCAGAAATAGATATAGGGCCCGGTCTGAATGAATGTGAACGAGACGTCGTAACGGAAGTTTTGGCTAGAGAATATTTGTCTCCCACACTGAGTGAGAAGAAACCTTATGACTATAAAATGACCATCCGAACAACCGACGATACACCTTTTTATTGTTTGCCAAGACGATTATCCTTCAGAGACAAAGAAGAGGTTCAAAGGATTACTAATGACCTAATTAAACGTCAAATCATACGGCCCAGCAACTCCCTTTATGCTTCTGCTATTGTTTTGGTAAAGAAAAAGAATGGAGAAACGCGTATGTGCATTGATTATAGGGCTCTTAATAGGAAAACGATTCGGGACAATTTCCCGTTGCCTTTAATAGATGATTGTATTGAGTATATGTCAGGGAAAAAGTGGTTTACGCTTTTGGACTTGAAGGATGGGTTTAATCAATTAGCAATGGATGAGAGTTCTATTCCGTTAACATCTTTCGTCACGCCACACGGACAATTCGAATACCTTAGAATGCCATTTGGGTTAAAGAATGCACCAGCTAATTTTCAGAGATTCGTGTATAATATCTTTAGGGACTTGATAGATGCAAGAGAAATCATTGTATATATTGATGATATATTAATAGCTTCCAACAACCTTGAATGTCACATTAAGACTCTAGGAAAAGTTCTTAAGAGAGCTTATGAAAAAAATTTGGAGCTTAAGCTTGGGAAGTGCAAGTTTTGTTACAACGTAATTGAGTACCTAGGTTATCGTCACTCCATCAGGAATACAACCATCGAAGTCCCATATTAAAGCAATTGCAAACTACCCGATTCCGAAGAATCAAAAAGAGCTTCGTTCTTGTATTGGCTTGTTTTCCTACTTCCGAAAATTTGTACCTTCCTTTTCAAAAATTGCCAAGCCGCTTTTGGATTTGCTACGCAAAGATGCCGAATTCATATTTTCGAAAGATTGTTTAACAGCATTTAGGGACTTAAGAAATAGTTTAGTTAGTGCACCGTTGTTAGCAATATATGACCGAAATCGTGAAACACAACTCCATTGTGATGCTAGCAGTCATGGTTTTGGATCTGTTTTGTTACAAAAACAGGACGACGGCAAATTTCATCCAATTGCATATTTTTCCAAAACAACTACACCAGCTGAGTCGAGGTATCACAGCTTCGAGCTGGAAACACTATCGATCATTTATGCTCTTCGCAGATTTAGAATATATTTAGAAGGTGTACCATTTAAAATTATTACAGATTGTAACTCGTTGACTATGACCTTAAACAAAAAACAGATTAATCCTCGGATAGCCCGATGGGCGCTAGAGTTAGAAAATTTTGACTACTCTATCCAGCACCGTGTCGGAGTCAACCTTGGCCATGTAGATGCTTTGAGTAGAAGTCCGTTATTGGAAAAGGAATATGATAGTATCAATTCAGTTCTTAAATATGAAACAAATGACTTTGCAAGTCCACGGTGCGCTTACCCTGTAGAATCGAAGCTGCTGTCTAGCTCTGAACGCCAGATAAGTCATATGAATAAATGTGAGTTAATAGCCGCTGTAGATTTGGATGACTTGGATGTTCAGATACAAATCGCACAGAATCGGGATGAGAAGCTCAGGGTACTTATGAGTAAATTAGAGAAGGAGGAGGTTGTAGGATATGAACTAGTAGACGGATTAGTATGTCGTAGGATTGGGGGGAAGATAATGCTTTGTGTTCCTTTGGAGATGCAAGAAAATGTAATTCGCACAACACACGAGAAAATCGGTCAATTAGGTACTGAAAAATGTTACAATCAAATACGCAAAACTTATTGGTTTGAAAATATGAGGGATAAAATCAGCAGATTTATTCAGAATTGTATCAAGTGCATTATATATTCTGCGCCAGCCCGTTCCAATGAGCATAATCTTTTTAGCATTCCTAAAAACCCAATACCATTCGACACCCTCCATTTAGATCACTTCGGTCCTCTACCAGCAATTAACTCAAAGCGGAAACACATACTAGTTTCTATAGATGCATTCACGAAATTCGTCAAATTATATCCGGTAAATTCTACGAGTACATAAGAGGTATGTTGCTCACTGGACAAGTATTTCAGCTACTATAGTCGCCCACGACGTATTATAACTGACCGAGGCACTTGTTTTACTTCCCTCGAGTTCAGTAACTTTTTATTGAAAAGAAATATAGGTCATGTGAAGGTTGCAGTGGCATCACCACAGGCAAATGGTCAAGTTGAGAGAGTCAACCGTGTTCTTAAGACAATGTTGAGTAAACTTACTGAGACTATAGACCATGCTGATTTTACTGCGAAATTATCTCAAGTAGAATATGCGCTAAACAATACTGTCCATAGTACAACCAAACACACTCCAAGTGATTTGCTTTTTGGTGTTAACCAACGGGGCTGCATTGTAGATGAATTTACGGAATGCACTGAAGACAAACTGTTGGATGAAACGACCAGGGACCTTGAGAAAACCCGACAAAGCGCACTTAGGAATATAGAGCGATCGCAGGATTACAACACTTCTTAAAAAATAGTGTCCCCGCAAAGACATACTCGATAGGAGATTTTGTAGTAATTAGGCATGTTGATACCACAGTTGGAACTAATAAGAAATTTATTCAGAAGTATAGAGGCCCTTATATTATACACAAAGTATTGCCGAATGACCGTTATGTTATAAGGGATATAGACAATTGCCAATTGACACATTTACCATATGACGGCGTTATTGAAGCTATAAAAATTCGTAAATGGTGCTCACCAACTAACAATCGTCTCGAGCCTCTACAGTCACCAACGGCAATAGGTCACACAACCTCAACAAGAACTGTCAGCTGATTGAGGTCAATCATAAAGTCAGATTGGCCGAGATGTAATGTTCCCTACCCACTTGTAAACTAATTATTTATTTAAGTTTATATGTATCACCCAGTAGTTGTCATTTGTAGATATAAGATACACTAAACACTCTGTACCGAAAGAAGCAGCCATTTTATCCTTCTTCTTCCGGTGACAGCTAAAACGAGGAGACGTGCCAGAAAAATAGTAAGAAATAAATCGAAGAATATAAAAAGACATCTTTGTAATTTTAAAGACTGCGTTATATTTACTTGAATAAAAGTGTAAAATAGTGGTGCTTGTGATGTAAACAAACGCTCAGCTGACGAACCCGCTTTCGCAAACTTTTTTCTCAAAACCAGTTACAAATACAACGTCGCGTTCTTACGTGATCTTGTATTTTTGGTTCATGGGTTTTAAGCGGACTGAGCAGTCCAGTGTGCATTTTAACTGGCCGTCTCCATAGGATAAAATTTATTGCTGTCCAGCTGTCATTTTGGTCGCTAGATATAAATTATATCAGTGGCAATATTTGTGTGGGCTTTTTATTTCTTGATATAAGCATCTGTGAGATAGCTTCTAAAACGTATTTTTGCCGGATTTAATCACTTAAAAAATTTAGAAAATAGGCTATTTTACATCCAATTACATAATAACAAATATTTTCACCGAAAACAGTTCAATATTTGCTTTTATATTAAAATATCAATAATGTTGCCGCCACGTAGTTTTCATGCAAATGAACATGTAGCTGTCAAACTACCAAATTGCCGGCAATAGATGGCAAGATATAAGCTCTGATATATATTGCTCTTGAAGAGCAATGAGCGGTCTCCATGAACCAAAAATACAAGATCACGTAAGAACGCGACATTGTATTTGTAACTGGTTTTGAGAAAAAAGTTTGCGAAAGCGGGTTCGTCAGCTGAGCGTTTGTTTACATCAGAAGCACCACTATTTTACACGTTTATTTAAGTAAAGAAGAGTTAATTCAACATGACAACACATTTTCAAGCATTTTATTGCATCATTTTACCTAAATTGTGCGTTTAAAGTGGCTGACAATAATTTTGGCTAATTTTGGCTTTTGTTGTTTTCTTTGCTTTGTTTACTTTTCGCTCGTTTTCCAGTGAATCAAGATGGCGTAGAACCCGCTAAAAAAATCGACTTTTTTCACTCTTTTGTTCTTGCGTGATCTTGTGTCTTTCGTTCATGAGCGGTCTCTATCGGCTATTTATATTCTAAGGCCCTGATCCCACAGGAAAACACTGATGTAGTGAAAACTATGTCACAAAATATATTTCCAATGGAGACCGCCTATTTCTCATGTGCTGCAATATATGTCAGCGCTTATTGCTTGACATCTATTACAGGCAATTCGATAGTTTGACAGCCATATTTTCATTTGAAAGAAAGCGTGCTGGTGGTAACATCGATTAAATTTTTATATTAAATCAAAATAAAAGTCTGTTCCTTATTGGATTATTTATGATTACGTTTTAGGAAATTATTCAGCAAGTTTTTTAAAGATTTAAATGTTTTTAAACACCGAAATTGACAGAATGTTGTCTGGTGGCGTCATGCGGCAAATGCTTATTTCAAGACATCAAAGTGCCCACACACAAAAACTTGCGATCACATTGCTCGTCAAAATGACAGTTGGTAGGCCATCGGTGTTTGCCTGTGGAGTTTTGCGGTAACATATGTATCAAGATATAAACTTTATCCTGTGGAGACGGGCAGTTATGTATACGTGGATATGTAAGCAAAGGAAAAGAGGCGATAATTTGTCGTAACCGTGCTCATAAGAAGAAGCATGGCTTCATAGAGGGCTTTCGAACGAGGCGTTTTTTCAGGCAACTTTTGCGTTCAACTCACGCAGGGTTGCACGAAAAAAAAATTGAATGGCTAAAAGTTTCAAAATATATAAAAAAAAATATCGAAATAGTCGCAATAAAAAGGCGTTTGCATTGTTCATCTTTGCATTCTACTTTGGTTGAAAGGCCTTTCAACTAATCGCTTTCAACAAAGTTGGTCGCCAGCCAACATTTAGCCATTCAAATTTTTTTCGTGCAACCCTGCGTGATTTGATAGCATATGTTGAACGCAAAACGGGGCGTCCGTACACCTTTATAGATGCAACTCTGTTCCAGCGCCATCTACAGCGCTTCTAAAAACTTCTAGAACAAAAAATTCCCTGGGGAAATTTTCATAACCTACGATAATCAAAGGAGAAGGTGGAAATTAGCGATTAACACTCCATGAAAACACGCGAAAGAATAGGAATATCGTGGTAACTTCAATCTTTGGAAAAGAACACGTCCACTTTCGAAGTGATAAATCATTTGTATAAAAAAGGTACATATTCAAACGATTATATCAGGGCATTGGAAACGAAATGGATATTATTAGAATCGAAAAATTGTGAAAACGTGAAAGAAATTGTCACAACTGGACAATCTAATGAATATACATACATACTCACGAGTGTGTAAATGAGCTAAGTGAAAAATATATGCACGAATAAACGAATTACAAATTAATAAAAGTACGCTGTATATTTCCTTTAAGTGGAAATTAAGCATTAACAGTGGAAGATGTATTTGATTGCATTGGGGAATATCTTTGAAAAGTGATTGGTACGAATACAGCTATGGTAAAAATTATTTTGAATGGGGTCGAGTTGGTCCGGTGATATTTTTACAACCCACATGTTCGGGTTGGGGCGATACTTAAATAAAGCATAGTATGTAGATTAAAAATTTGGTCGAAAGTTGATTCGAAACTTCTGGAAGAAGTCGTAAATCAATCACTTTTCTGGAATTTCCTCGATGACGATTGACTCGTCGTTTTGGTTGATCGATCGAAAATTTCCTAGTGTTTCTATAGTGGTCTTTCTTTTATTGTCAAAAAATTATAGAATTTGTGACTCATTGTGCGGAAAGGAAAACTACCGCCAGCAATATTAAGAAAATCAAAGAACAGCAATTGGAATAATCACCGGTACTGATTGGTTGCCCACTCTAGAGTTAAAGTCATCAACAAGACTTCTGCAGCTTCAGTTAAAAATAAGACCGTGGGAAAATGTCTGTGATTGGAATCGATTTTGGCAATGAGGGATGCTATGTTGCTGCTGCCAAGGCTGGTGGAATTGAAACTCTTGCTAATGATTACAGTTTGCGCGCAACCCCGTAAGTAAACTTATTTGTGTGATTTTTTAATTTTGTAATGTTTCAAAAAAATTTGCATGTTGTCGAAGTGATTAATTTTGAGGTTAGGTTGGTTTTTCTTATCTTTATTAGGTTCTCTCCCTAACAATTCGGAACGGATCCGGTAATTAGAGAATAAGCGAAAAGTTTGCTCTCAAAAATGGAACATAATCCAGAAGTACGAGAAAACAGCTAGTGATGTGCTGAATTTTCGGTACCTAATACTTAAAAAAGATTTCGGTACCCAATACTTCCTTTTCGGTACCCGATACCGATTCTTTACATTAAACCTTCGCCATCAAGAATGATAGAATACAAGATTGCGCCGATCAGAGAGGATTTTTGAGAATAACATTTGTGTGACGTCACACTGGTGCAATTGCGAGAGAGAAATGCCAAAACGTGAGCAAGAATGGAAGAAGAAAAAATGTTGCAAGGAAAACGTAAACAAGTTGCACAAGTGTGACCTCATGCAAACAACGATTCTGTCAAATTCGTTAAGAGAGGAATAGCGGTCCGAGATCGGCGCAACCTTTGTATTCTCTCAATCGTGCTTCGCCATTATATGCTAAAACAGTTGAACTTATCGTAACAGGGAAATATTATTGGTAATTCTCTAGTATAGGGTAACAACCTCTAATAAAGGTCCGGAAGAGTCGGGAGGGGTACCAACGATGTCAATCAAAATCATCGTTGTGTAAAAGTACTTTTGCAACTAACCTTGCTTTATGTCGTACAGGATTTCCATCAGCATCCTCTTTTTACACGGAAAACCCATTTTGATTTTAGTAGCTTTACATTCGGCGGACGTTAGCTAACTCCCAAACCTTATTTTCTTTCATCGAACAAAGTTCTTCATTGATGGCTTTTGTCCATAATAACTTATCCGACCTTTTATTAAGATCTGTATATGTTACTGGCTCACATGGTTCATCCAAGATAACTGAGTATCCAGAAATATACTGCATAAGTCTGTGCTTAATCCTTTCACTACGTCGCGGTCGTAAATTACTTTCTTGGACATCAAGATCACCTGCCTCACCTCCAATAAATAAATCACTTACATCTGAATTTCCAGCCTCCCCTTCGGAACTATCGCCATCATGTTCGTTATTTGCATTATAATCACAGGAACTAGCACGACTTTCTTCTTTCTCCGCCTCTAGCTGGTGCGTAACATCTATTATCAAATAGTTGTTGTTTTCATTTGAAGATTGACTACGAAGTTTATACGGATATATAAATTCGTTGAAACGGACATCTCTTGCAATAAAAATATTTTGTTTGCTATCAGTCCAAAGCCTATACCCATTTGGAGCATACCCTATCATAAAAAGCTCAGTTGTTTTGGCGTCCAATTCCTTTCGATTTTGTTGAGGAACCTATGAAAAAAGGTTTTAAGTTTAGATATATCAGGGCTTTTGATTATACCATAATTCAGCGGGCGTTCCCACGACAGTCGGGTCTACGTAACCGGAACGACCCAGATTTATATCTGGCCAAGGACTGTCACTCCAGCAACACTCCCCAAAAAGTCTTTGGGGAATTTGTATGCTGCTGCAACAACAACAACAACATTAAATTAATACTTCGGCATGGACTTCTGTTAAGAATATAAGTTGCAGTAAGAGCTGCTTCACCCCAAAAAGACCCTGGAGTACCACTTTCAAGAAGCATAGATCTTACTTTTTCCACAAACGTTCTGTTGAACCGTTCAGCAATCCCATTCGGCTTTGGAGAATATGCCGCTGTGCATTGAATTTGAATTCCTTTTTGTTTGAAGAAACACATCTCTTTCTTAGACATATATTCACGTCCTTGGTCTATAGTTAACATTGCAATAGGTAGGTTATGCATTGATGAGACTACAGCTTATCGTAAACTTCGGACTTCTTTTTATTAAATATATAAACGCGAAATGACTAAAATCATCAATGAAGCTTACAAAGTATTTGAATTCATCCCAAGTCAAAGGATCGAAGGGACCGCAAACATCTGAATGAATCCTTTCTAGCAATCGTGATGATGTTGGACGATTTCCATTAAATAGAGTTCGGCACTGCTTCCCTTGAATACATACATCACAAAAACCAACTGGTTTGTATTGTTCCAAGCCGCGAACCATTTCATTTCGAACGAGATCTTGAACTGAATTGTCACTTGCATGACCCATCCTCTTATGCCACAAACTGCTTTCATCAGTTTTACTCAAGTTGGACATCTTCATAAAATCCAATTTTAATTCGTAAAGACTTCCATTCTTAAACGCTTTCATATAAGTATTATTTTTCTTTTTGAAAAACGCTACCACACCAGAAAATGTTATTGGGCCGTATGAATAAAAAATAAGCAATTGCTTTTTCTTTGTAATATTATGTATTGTGGCACGATTTTCCGTCATCTCTTGTCAAATTTGGTTTGGAGACAAACCGGTTTCGGCGTTGAGCCATCTTCAGTGTCATTTTTCGTTCTGCAGAACAAGAGGTTATGGGCGATAGCAAAAAGGGAAGCGATTCGTCCCATGGAATTTTGGAATTTCATGGAGAAAATTTTGAAAACTGGAGTTTTCGCGTGCAGCTTCATTTAGATGCACTGGATCTCCTTGATGTAATAAAAGGGACTCCTCCTGCGGAGCAGAACTTAATCGAGCAGTTCCGCAAGAAGGATAAGAAGGCCAAATCAGTTTTGGTCGATTGCTGATGAATACCTGGAGTACGTGCGAGAGAAGAAGACTTCCAAGGAGATGTGGGCACATGTGTGAAGTAGCACTTCAGTTTTCGAAATTGAAAAAGTTAACTACGGCATTAATTGTAGTGTGTTTGTTGTAAATTTGTTGTGGAAAGAAAAAATTTTTAGCTCTCGTTTTTTAAGAAAAAATGGTATGTATTGCTAACTTGACGCCTACACCTAGTCGATAGAATTGAGATATCCAATATGTTACTACGCCATTAAATGTAGCTTTTAACTTTAAAATTTCTTGTGAAAAGAAAAAAATTATAGCTTTCGTTTTTATGAAAAAAATTTAGTTGACCCTTTTTCGAACCAAATTTAGTATGTAGTGCTAACTTGACACCATGCACCATTGACGACA